TTCCACTAAAAAAGTGACCGGTCACATTTTGGGCGATAGCGAAAATATCACCTTATTCTAGAAGACCAAAGAGACGGGTTGAGCGCAAGAAATGACCGGGTAACCTTTCAGAGAAGGTGACCGGTCATATCACTTTACTTGGCTAACATTGGTCCAGTCTCTTAGGCATGGTGAACCACGTCAGAGGTCAAGGGTACACCCCGCCGCTCATCCATCACGAGGCACACAGTGAAAGGGATGTTTGTCATTTTGCAGGATTGATTGGATTGAGAATATCCATTTTAGTCTTTGATTGAACAGTACATGTCTTGGCTTGTAGTTGCTAAATTCATTGATTGAATAGTAGATTGATTATGTACAGTGACCTTCCCACGGGCTTCCTATTTTGTCCATGGATGAACAGGGGAAGGTCACAAATCCTCCTCTATAAATATGATGATATTGGATAGAGGAGGGGATCCATTCTTTCTCTCACTAAAAATAGTACACTCTTGAGACAGAGTAAGAAATATAATTCGGACTGAGGAGATTTACCCGGTCTAGGTCATATTTTGTGTTCTTGTTGTGTGTTTTATATTACGGGTTGAGTGTCCAGGTCAAATCCGGTCGACCCACCCAACTATATTTACACCATCACCATCGGAAGGACTAAGATGCCCTTGTCCTTCCTCTAGCGCATGCACTACTCGCACTAGCTCATCATTAAGGACATCCGAGGGAGCAAATAAGGGCACCAGTCAAGTTCATGATTGGCATGCATTTTTTTAAATAGAAAATTTCGAAATGCCATTTTTTTTTACTTTTTCCTTAAAACTTGCTCCGTATTTCTTTTTTATTACTCCGTTGTTTTTTAAAACTTAGTACTCCGTTTTTTTACTGGTTTTCTTAAACCTTAGTTGTTCGTTTTAAAATAAAAATATAAATCGATACTATATTATAGTCAAATTAATAATACTAAAAAATGTGATTTGTCTTAAATGATACTCCCTCCGTCCCACAAAAAAGTTCTCATTTTGAATAGTATTTAGTTAAATATTTACATTCTTTGCCTACAAATTGTGAGAAAGGTATAATGAATTATAAAATAAATTTAATATAATTGGATTCATCTTAGGATCTAGTTTTGATATCTCAAATTTTTTTAGCATTTCTTTATTTAGATTATATTTAATTTATGGTCAAAGCATGTAAATATTTGACCAATTTATGGTCAAAATGAAAACTTTTTTGTGGAACGGAGAGAGTATAATATGATATGCAATTAATTAGCCTTTTTCTTACAATTAATCCCATGTAGTGTCTACCACCATTTTAATATCTTTGCGATTTTAATGTCAATGCCTCAAAAAAATGTCCTTGTCTCTAATAATATCTTCTACACTTTCTTACTCTAATGTCCATCCATTCATTGTGACAACAATGTCCACTTACATTGTGTCAATTTAATTTCACTTACTCTTAATCAATGTCTACATGTAACGTAACAAACATTGTTCACAATATTTAATGTCATTGTATATGAAGTTCAATGTCCTTGCGACAATACAAGCGAATAAGAGAAAATTTTTAAAAAATGAAAGACATTGGGCCAATGAGATAAAATATGATATGTAATTAATTAATGTTTTATCCTTTTATTACAATTATGGTCTTGTTACTCTGTCCACCATAATTTTAGGGAGTACTCCCTCCGTCCGGAAATATTCTTCCCGTGTTGACTTGACACGCTTATTAAGGAATAGTAAAAAATATGCAAAATTTTCAAAAATGCACATACTATAAACTTTTAAATCTCCTTTTATTATTAACAAAGTACTAAAAAGTAGTTTTGTGATAAAATAGAAGGGTATTATTGATATTTATCCTTAAAAAGTATACTAAAAAAAGGAAATGGGAAGAATATTTCCGGACGGACCAAAAAGGAAAGTGGGAAGAATATTTCCGGACGGAGGGAGTAATATTTTTGTGACTTTAATGTCCTTCCTTGTCACTAATAATGTCTTCCTCACTTTCTTACTCTAATATCCATTCGTTCATTATGACAATTTAATGTCCACTTACATTGTGAAAATTTAATGTCTGCTTCCTCTCAATCAATGTCTACTTGTAATGAACAATATCACATTATGTAATGTCATTGTATACAGATTTTAATGTCCTTGCAGCAATGCAAGCATGAATAAATAAAAATTCTTAAAAAATGAAAGAAATTAGGCAACGGTGGAGATGTAGCGATGGCCGCCGACGGCATGGGGCAGGGGTGCACATGGTGTTGGGATTGATTAATTAAAAAGAAAAAAAAAAGAAAAAAAAGGAATATACATGCATACACATAATGCATGTGAAGTGGACCCATGATGCCATGCATGTGAAGGGGAGCTAATTGTCTCCTTCCCTTGTTTTTGGTGGTGTACGAAAGTAATGGGATGGGGATGCTTTTTTTTTGGCCTTCACCTCTTATAAGAGGAATCGTTTTCTTTATATTTGGGTGTGAGTTTTACACACGGGAAGGAGAGGGAAAGGGTGTGAAGAGAAAGGTGCTGCACAAGATATCACCAATACTGTGTGAGTGAGTGTAGGGAGTAACTATTATTTAGTTACTCGGAAAATACATCCGGGTGTAGGGTGTGAAAAGTCTGTTTATAAGTGTCTGGTATTTAGCACTTGTAAACAGGGAGAGTTTTTTGTGTATCGTTCTGAAATAGTGAAGATATAATTTTTCTCTCATATTTTCTTCTTGTGTAGTGTGTTTATTTATTTTTCATGTTCTTGATATTTTAATAGTCTTACGCGCTTAAAATCCCAACAATTGGTATCAGAGCCAAGTTACATTTGGGGCGGAGGGATTTCTAAGCGGTAAGAGAAGAAAGTCGAAGAACTTGAAAAATGGCATCGATAAAAAGTTCGAATGTTTCCGTCGAACCTTTCGATGGACGTGGCGATTTTACTCTGTGGCAACAACGAGTAAAAAGTGTTCTTACTCGGGAAGGAACAATCAAAGCTCTGAAGGTAAAGGTTCAGAGGACAGAAAAAATGACGGATGCTGAGTGGGCCAAACACCGAAAGAACGACAAACCGGAAAAATTGTCGGAAGAAGAGTGGGAGGATTTAAAGGACATGGAAACAAGTACAATATGCCTATGCCTTGCAAATAATACTCTTCGGGAGGTTCTCGGTTTGACGGACCCGATGGATATTTGGGACAAGCTGGAGAGCTGGTAAAAGTCGAAATCGTTGACAAGTAGGCTATACTTGAAGAAACGATTGTTTGGTCTCCAAATGGCGGAGGAAGCTAACTTTAATGGATACTTGGATGAATTCAACAAGATTACAACAGAGTTGGAATCCATTGATGTGAAGATTGAAGAGGAGGACAAGGCGCTGCTTCTGTTGGCTTCATTGCCTTCATCTTTTGACAACATCGTGACCACGCTTTTGTTTGGAAAAGAGACCTTAAAATTTGATGAAGTAGTTGATGCGTTGTTGATGAACGAGACTCGGCGGGGTGGCAGCGGGGTATCAAATGACGGTCAAGCTTTGGTAGCAAAAGGAGCTGGTCGGGAACGAGGACGGTCTAAAGAGAGGGGCGGCGCGTCCCAACGCTTCAAATCGAGTAGTAAAAGCTTTCGGTGTTACTACTGCAATGAAGAGGGTCATTTCAAAAGGGATTGTCCAAAGAGGAGGAAGGAAAAGAAGGACGGGAAAACACCCGTGACTGCGGTTGCAGAGAGTTCAAATCAAGCAAGTGAAGAAGACTTGTTTTTGGCAACCACAAAAAGTCTAGGTAAATCGGATTGGATATTAGATTCGGGTTGTCCGTTTCACATGTGTTCAGTTAAGGAACAATTTGATACGTATCAAACTTGTGATGGGGGTGCTGTGAAGATGGCAAATGGTGCACGGAGCAAAATTGCAGGGGTCGGAACAGTGCAAGTTCGCATGTTTGATGGCGTGGTTAGAACATTAACTGGAGTGAAACATGTACCGGGTCTAAAAGGAAATTTGATTTCCTTGGGGGCTTTAGACTCAGAAGGCTGCCGAATTTTTGCTCAAGGTGGAGTGTTAACAATTTCTAGGGGAGCAATGGTGGTAGCAAAAGGAGTTTTGTCAAAAGGCTTGTATAAACTTGTTGAAAAAGATTTGACACGGAAGCTGTCAGAAAGAAAAATTACAAGTGCAACAAGCGGAGCATTTGCATGGAAGAAGCGGGTGACGTTTGAAGCTTCTCGGATTGGTGGATACTGTGACCTCACCAGAATGAGCGGGGTGGAGCCGGACCATGGTTTGATTAATTAATCAAGGTGGAGTTTGTTGGGATTGATTAATTAAAAAGAAAAAAAAGAAAAAAAAGGAATATGCATGCATACACATAATGCATGTGAAGTGGACCCATGATGCCATGCATGTGAAGGGGAGCTAATTGTCTCCTTCCCTTGTTTTTGGTGGTGTACGAAAGTAATGGGATGGGGATGCTGATGGTGTAAATATAGCTGGGTGGGTCGACCGGATTTGACCTGGACACTCGACCCGTAATATAAAACACACAACAAGAACACAAAATATGACCTAGACCGGGTAAATCTCCTCAGTCCGAATTATATTTCTTACTCTGTCTCAAGAGTGTACTATTTTTAGTGAGAGAAAGAATGGATCCCCTCATCTATCCAATATCATCATATTTATAGAGGAGGATTTGTGACCTTCCCCTGTTCATCCATGGACAAAATAGGAAGCCCGTGGGAAGGTCACTGTACATAATCAATCTACTATTCAATCAATGAATTTAGCAACTACAAGCCAAGACATGTACTGTTCAATCAAAGACTAAAATGGATATTCTCAATCCAATCAGCCCTGCAAAATGACAAACATCCCTTTCACTGTGTGCCTCGTGATGGATGAGCGGCGGGGTGTCCCCTTGACCTCTGACGTGGTTCACCATGCCTAAGAGACTGGACCAATGTTAGCCAAGTAAAGTGATATGACCGGTCACCTTCTCTGAAAGGTTACCCGGTCATTTCTTGCGCTCAACCCGTCTCTTTGGTCTTCTAGAATGTCCTTCGTAGAATAAGGTGATATTTTCGCTATCGCCCAAAATGTGACCGGTCACTTTTTTAGTGGAACCGACCGGTCAACTTTTGACCCGTCCAAATCGAAGAGTTAACCTCATTTGGTGATTGATAAAAGTGACCGGTCATACTTTGACCTGTCCCTTTCGGTTGTCCGGGTCGGGTATAGGGATATACCCATCAGATGGTAAGAGAGGATTAAGGATTATGCTATGTGTACCCCAAGGTTTGTACCCCAATTTGTACCCCGCAGTTTTACACCAATATAATAATTTGTGTTGGTGTAAAACTAATTTTTGTTAAACGCACCAACATTTGTATCCGTGTGAATTTTTATTAACGCACCAACACTTGTGTCGGTGTAAACCATCGAAATGTTTGTGCAAACCGGTGGTGTACAAATGGGGTATATTTTTTGGTGTAAGTGTAGCATGGTCCAAGGATTAAACAAGGTTAGATAAAGCTACTTGTACCCCAACATTTTGTACCCCACTTTGTACCCCTCAGGTTTGCACCAACATTTTGTGTTGGTGTAAAACTAATTTTTGTTAACGCACTAGCACTTTGTGTCCGTATAAATTTTTGTTAACGCACCAACATTTGTGTCGGTGTAAATCATCAAAATGTTTGTGTATAATTGCGGTGTACAAATGAGGTACAATTTTTGGTGTAAATGTAGCATGGTCCAACAAGGTTTTAGATATTACTAGTCCTATTTTGGGAAACTGTTATTGTTTTAATACTCCGTACCATTTAAGGAAAAATCCCTTTTTTCCAGTTCTTCAAATGTAGAGTTGTAGAGTTTTGGGCTACCTTGGCAATAGAAATCATTCTAAATAGGACTAAAATATAGAAAAAAGTACCAAAATAAGACTTTCATGTTTTTTTCCCAGAATAGGACTTTGCACTGTGGTAATGTGACAGTGTACATGTGCAGATTACTATACTTTTTTGGTAATGTATATGACCATGTTTGGTAATGTAAGTCCTATTTCGAGAATAAAAACATGGAAGTCCTATTTTGGTATGTTTTCAATGTTTTAGTCCTACTTTGGTTTTCTCCCATTTGGCAACGACTTTAGTGTCAAGCTTTAGCATATTGAAAAAATTATTTAACGATTGTATTTTTATTATTTTTAAAGTGAATTTACACGATTAAAACTTTATCTAAAACGTTAGTTGAAATGATCACTAACAAAATCTTTCCCGACAAGAAATTGATGAAAAGATTTGTTTTCGTTGTTCGTAACAATGGAAAAGGTGACCGAACAATATAGGTGACAAATAAACGATGGATTCCTATTTTTGTCGTTATCATAAAGCAGGAATGTTCTTGCACTGCTTAAAACGATGGAATTCACGCCCGAAATGTGTTTGTTGCCAATGGATGACCAAAAAAATCTTTGACAACATTTTCAATAGGGGCGGCAGAATTATTTCATCGGCAATAAGGATAGTATTTAAAGAGTTCCACCCACTTCCAACTTACATGTCGGAAATATAACAAGGTAAAAGTATAGAGAAAATAGCTGAAGCATTATGACTGCATCATTCCTTCCCCCTTAGCTAAAGCTTTGTCCTCAGAGCTTAAATTCTGGAAATCTTTGTGCAAAAACATCCAACCATCCTCATACTAGGTAACTCTCCTCTGAAGACTTTAGGCTGAGAAGTAGGATATACTGCCCGACTTTTGTCTTGAGTAGATTGCACACTAAGCTGTTTGTAGGGTTGAAGTTTAAGCCAGGCCCAATTTCCACATACCAACTCCTTGTCAAATCTGTGTGAGTTGGATAGTTGTAGCAACACGTGTCTCCTCACTTTGAACACTTCTTTCAAGTGATTGTGATGGGATTTCCATGTGGGCTTATATATGCACCATGAGATCATCAACAATTATCAACACTGATTCCATGAGATAGGACTTGTAGGTATCTTGGCTTCCAATCTTTATCTGGTGGTGTCCCACTCCTAAATTCATCTTGCTCAAGACACCTTTCAAAACTTATATGTGAATCTCCAAGAGTTGAAATAGACCCATCCTCCAAAGACAGAAACCCTCATGTGCACTTTTCCCCAGTAGTGCATACTTCTAAGCATTATCAATATTGCTTCTCTTCTTGCTTGGCCTTGCACATGCGGGGAATGTTCCCACTGCATTACATCACATACCACTGCCACTATCTCAATGTACTTCTTAACAATGCCTTGTTGTAAACTATTTGCTCAGGCCATATCCAATCTCCCAATGTCAACTCCTCGTCAGATTTGTGTTGGATGGCTAGGTGATGTCTTCTATTCTGATCTCCTTGCCACTGATAACTAAGTAGTCTAACCCTTATCTCCCTCTACAATAAGGGTTTGGCTAACCATTTCCTTGGATAGTGGAAGCTCCTTGTAACACCCCAACCCGCGTAACCCGAACTAACGGGTTAGCGAACCGGGTTGTCACTAAGTTGATATTCGCATGCATAAATTTTCTTTTCTAAAATAAGAATTAAATCATTTATAAAATTCGTCCGTATAGTTTTAACTAGACCCTAATTCATCAAAATAATTAAATAAAATCCAAACGTCGCGGAAGCATAAGAAAACCAAAGTAACATCCAACCGTCCATATAATCAAATAAAATAATGTAGTTTAAATTACTAAAGTAAACAAGAGCCATCCACGCCACACCTCCACTTCACTGCCCTCCGGGTTTCCATCCAAATCTGTGTTCCTACCTGCGTGCAGTCAAACAACAAGGACTACACGCTTAGCGAAACGCTGAGTGAAAATATACCTAAGCCAGCATTAAGTCACAAAATAGCACCACATTAACATACAATCAACAACAACATGTGAACACGGAGAAAATAGCTTAAATAAACATATATATATAAACACCTTCTATTTGAACATCATGTCCTTATTTTATTCCACATCAACTACTTTGAGTCATGGCACCCCAAGCCAGAGGCGGATCCAGGAATTGGGAAGCATGGGGTCCTGTTTCTTAAATTGTAAAGATACATTTATACTATGTTATTATTCACACGCAATAAAAAATAAACTAAAAAATATATTATTTAAATAAATATTCAAAATATGATTCTCAAATGGATTTTTTTAAAGTCATAACTTCTACACCTAAGATTTTTTAAAGATAAAATTCACTAATAGGATACAATGATTTTTTGTCAAAAGACTCAAATTAAAACAAAAGATTTAGACACATCCATAATCCTTCTTTATCACACCTTGAAAAATGAAAGTAAATTGTAAAAAGAATACAAATAAAATGAAAAGTATATTTGTTTAAGTATTTTTTATGAAAAGTCTAATTCAAAGAATTTTAATAAATATTTAATATTTCTGTAAACTAAAAGTCTAATGAAGAAATACGTATTATACAAAAATTACTATCTCAAAAAATACAATAAAATATTTAGCATTAAAAATGTTTTTTAGAGAATTAGAGTACTTCAGGATAAAATTGAGGACATATCCATAATATAATCCTTCTTTACGCACTTTAAAAATGGAAAGATATTGTAAAAAGAATACAAATAAAATGATCGAAAAGTAGGTTTGCTAGATACAGAGTATTTTTTTAGGAAAATACTAATTAAAAGAATTTTAATAGGTATTTAATATTTATTTAAACTGAAAGTCTAATGACGAACTACGTATTACTCCCTCCGTCCGGAATTCAAGTTCCCATTTTGACTTTTGGTCATTTTTATGGGAAGTTGACTTTGTCTACAATTTGTCCAAAATACCCCTAGGCTTCATTTACCAGATACGCCACACCCCTAAAGCCAAATCCGTCGTAGTAACAATGGCCGCCGCAGCAACTGATCGATGGCCGCACCAACAAACCCCAAGCGACGGAACTCTTTGCCGCACCAAATCGACGGATCTCTCTCTTTCTCTACTGAGCAAACCAGACCCAATTCGAATCTCTTGCCGCACAATGGATCTCCAGATTTTTTAGATCTGGAAAAAACAAACGAGATCCAAACTCTGGTAGAAGAAGAAAATGGAAAAAAAAGAAAAAGAAGGGGGGAAGAGAGAGGGGGGATCGGAGATCCAAACTCTGGTAGAAGAAGGCTAGATCTAACAAAGAAAAGAAAAGGAAGAAGAAGAAGAAGAAGAAGGATGAAGGAAAGGGGGGGAGGAAGTTAACGTGGAGAAGAAAAGGAAGGGGGAGGGGAATAGAGGAAAGAGTACCTGGCGGAGAAGCGGAGAAGAGATTGCCGAGAAAGAAAAAGGAAAACAAGGACGGGAAAGGGAGATAGAAGGGTATTTTAGGAAGAATAGGTATTAAAACGTAGAATGAGAACTTAAAATCCGAACGGAGAAAAGCGTAGAATGGGAACTTAAAATCCGGACGGAGGGAGTAATATTTAATACAAACATACTACCTCAGAAGATACAATAACATATTTTGGGTTAAAAATGTTTTTTAGACTACTTGAGGATAAAATTGAGGAGCATAAAAAAATTATAAACATGGAGGAGTCAAGAATCGAACCCTTGATCTCCTGGCTTAATGTCCAGCCGCGCGGGCTTCCGTTGCACCATCAGGTGATTTGGTTTCACCAAGGCTTTGTTTATTTATATACTAATTATATCAAGTTACCTAATATATATAAGATCCTACGTGGAGGTCCGTGGGGTCCCGGGACCCCGTGGGACTCAACGTGGGTCCGTCTCTGCCCCAAGCGATGCTATAAAAGGGCCAGCTCAGGAATCCAAAGGAGATTCACTTTGGGCGGGTTGAAGCCCCTGTCCCTGCGATGCCAGGACAGGTCGCGGACTTCCGTACGTACGTTTTTAACCCAAGACAACCAGGGGTACGACGACGCCCCGCAATGGCCAATTTCCTAACCATATCCTATTGGTGATTCAATCAGTCACTCCAATTCAGGTCCGCCTATTTATACTAGGTGGCCTACTTCCCATATATTATTCATAATCCACAATTTTCACTAATAAGATCAATTTAATTTAAATCTCAGTTCACAATTCACAACAAATCACGTAGCGGCCTATCCGGGCCAAAGACCCACGATTACCGTCATGCATAATTAAAGAACTCAAATTACAGTTAACCCAACTTACCTGCGCGGAATCAAGCCCGAGGAATCGATCCTCAAGCCCGCTGCCCCCGCCGGAGCAGTCCCCATCATCGCCGGAACAACCCCGGCACCCCGCCGGTAGCCGCCCCGGCTGCCCAAACCCGAAACCCGACCAGACAGCCCTATTGGGTGATTCGCAGCCACCCGGACAGCCATCAATTAGCCCCCAAACGGTCCAATCCAACCCAATTGTACCCAATTAAATCCAAATAACCCAATTGAACCCGTTAGGATCCAATTGCACCCAATTGGACCCAACTGATGCCAATTGGATCCAATTGGTCCAAATCAAGAGGCTGCCTAGTTCTGGCCACCTCGCCGCCGCCATTGCCGGCGGTCGCCGGAGGTGATGACGGAAAATAGCCCCCAAACACCCATTCCATAATTTCAACACAACAATCACAAATTCTCAATCAAATCGCAAGATTATACGCCAATTAAGGAAGTTCTAATCTACGAATTAATGCTAACGGAAGGTATAGAAACCACAAATCACCTCGAAATTTGACGAATTCAACCTTGGATTGGGAAAGACTCGCCGCTGCAACTCCTCCCTCGTATCGCCGGCCTGCTGCGCGCGACCGAGGAAGAAGAAGAGGACGTCGGCGGCAACCCAGCGGCGTCTCTAGACGGCGACTCCGATCAGCGTCTGCGGTCGGCGTCTCTGGACAGCGGCACACCAAGCGGAAATCGAATAGGTTTAGGAGAAGAAACCGGTGAAATCAGGAAAGGAAAGGTTCCCCGGTCAAAGTAACCCCCTAACGCATTATATATATAATTAATTAGATTTTAAGGTCCAATTACACTTTCCAACCAGTTAGAATAAATTTAAGTCCAATTACTTAATTCGTCATATCTTAGCCCTAATAAGTTCATTTCATGATTTGCTTGCACGGTCGGGTTCAGAAAAGCAAGCTCTACAGCGTAGGATAAACCCTCATGTTATTAGGGCAAATTAGGAAATAATCTTCGTATTCACCGGCTCAATAATTAATTAATTTTATAAATTAATTAAAATACTAAGCCGGGTTTCAGGGCGTTACATTTCTCTCCCCCTTAAAAGAATTTCGTCCTCGAAATTACTTGAATCATTGTCGTCGGAAAGGTGACAATATTGAACTCTCATAGAATCCCCAGTCTCCCACGTGGCTTCTTCAACGGCATAGTTGCGCCACATGACCTCGACCAAAGGCACCCGCTTATTTCTCAACTGCTTCACCTCCCGTGCTAGGGTAGGCTCCTCCTCATAAGACAAGTTATCGTCCAAAGTGATTGTTCCCTAGGGTAACCAATAGGTCGGATATAATCGGTAACGTCGCAACATAGAGACGTGAATCACATTGTGAATCTTGTTCAGTTCAGAGGGTAGCTCCAATTGAAACGCTACAAGACCAACTTCTGCCATGAGGGTGGAAGATAGTGCTCATATTTAGCTTCGTACCCCAAGCTTGTTGAAGTACCTTCTTAAACCTTGAAATGAAACAGGGACCCCTATCGGAAATAATAGATACCGGCACTCCTTGCAATTGAACAATCTCGTGAAGACACAATTAAGCTAACTTCTGAAGTGACATACCCCGTCGAACAGGTAGAAAGTGTGCAGATTTATTGAGACGATCCACAATGACCCATACAGCATTGTAAGGGTAAGCACATTACAAAATCTATCGTGATTCACCCATTTCACTCGAGGATAGAAGGCGGTTGTAACATTTTAGACGGTACTCAATGCTCGACCTTGACTTGCTGACAAGTCAAAACCGTGTTGTAAACTCAAAGATCTCTCCCTTCACAACGGGACACAATAATTTCCTTACAAGACATAGTAAATCTTATTAATACCCGGTTGTATGACGAAGATACTCGCAATTTAATTGATGTAGAATATTTGGAGAATACTACAGTGTTTCTCCCTGGAAAATCTGAATAACGAAGAAACGAGGAGAAGATGATACGACGAAGAGTGCTAACTAAAATAGTGGAAATGTGGTAAACGGACCTTTGACTTGGAAAGTATCACTCCGTGATGGTTTTGCATTTACGGGTGGGAATTTCTTATTTTGTTATTAAAAGTTCTATTATAAAACTACTAAACTGTAACATTTATTTTGATGACAACATTTAAAATATAATTCCCAACTCGACCAACTATGTGTCACAGGACACCCTTTTTGCGAGACCTACCCAACGATCCAGGATTCGTGAGTTAATATTATTTCCACGTCCCCTCGTATTTTACTCGTTCACTTTAAAATCTTCTCGGTCTTGGGACGGGCAATTCCCTAACTTCCATAACTCAGATTCGCACGCTGAATACGCCATTCAACTCGTCTTGTTAGGACTTTCAATTTGAATATGAATTTTGCCCATCAAGTGTAACTTTGAAAATCAATTAATTTTTAGCACTCACATTTTTGTTGTTTTTTTTAATATTTAATTTAAACAAAAATTAAAATTATGATTTGTCACATAATTAAAACTATATCCTAGGATATACTTCGCGACATTACGTTTCACTTTTTTTTGGACACAACACGTATTTTCTTCCTCTTTTTTTTGGGTGTGCAAAATGTCCGTTTTAATCATTTATCAAAAGTCCTCTAGTGAAAATGTTTAAGTGACTTAATTACTAAGCCGCTTATCAAAAAGATTAACACCCAATCTTAAAATAATTATTTTTTTTCTGAAAGTAACAATTTACCTTGAATAAGATAACCTTTTACAAACTTTATTTCTTACCCTCTTTTTGTAAAGAGGAAACGTATTGTTTTTTTCATTACACATTACCTCATATTGTCATCCTCGTCAGACACTGAAATAAAACATCCTCATTCGTCTGAGTCTGCAGCCCCTTCTGAATTTGGTTGTCACTTCAGTATTCAGCGATTCAATTGAATGCTAGATAAAGTTTTTTTTATTAATGATGACATTGGGCCACCAATTTCACATCTTACCTTAGTGCTACAATATACCCTTTTCTCGCATGGATTGAACAAATTTAATTTCAAGCTTACCTAAAATTATTCTTGAAGTTACTTTATATAGTTTTTTTGCAAAGTCACTTACCACTTAAAATATTATCATCACCAATTTAAAAGAGCGTAGTTGAAACCCCTTTGCAATTATTTTTTTCCCTAGCAACCCTCGTTTAGTTGATTCATATACATAATTTGTTTTTGTATTAATTAATAAGTTGTTAGAAAATTAATCTCATTAAAAGTATCATAATTGTCAAAACTTTTAAATTCTTAAAAGTAACCTTAGCTACTTTCTTCAAATGTAATCTAACGGCGGTCCACTTCACTTATATATTATATATATTTTTCTAAAGATAACTTATTAGATAGTAATCCCTCACATAGTCTAAATATATGGTAATTTTTTTAAATATATGGTAATTGCCCGCAAAACTGTCTAATTCAAAAAAAATTCTTTCTTGTGAACCACTGCTCAACATGATATTTATTATTAGCTGCGTAAGTTCATTAAGTAGCTTATAATTTATAAGTTTTTTTCATTTGCTTCAAATAATGTGTATTCACCAAAATACTTTGGTTTAGAGTTAATCCCAATGGTTCAACCCATAATATTTGTTTTCATTTTCTTCGTTCAACAATTATTTGTTAGGAACATTTCATTCTAGACATAAGTTTTACATACACTTTACGACATGGTGGTAGTTATAAATCTTCAACTGTGAGATGTTTTTTTCTTTCAATATATAAAATTTAGCGAATTAGTTACATATCTTGTTATTCTCTTCTAGAATATTTACGTTGTGTGATTCATCCCATTCTATTGAGCCACCTTGTATTTCCATATTAAGCATTATTAAGTCTTTGGTGGTGTGATGCTACAATTTTGAGAAAGCTAATTATGTTTTGAGAGTCTCAGCACAACAAATTTGGTCCGAAATTAATCAAAATCAACTTCGAGGATAATTGTGAGTTATCCCTTTCCCTCAAGTTGGCATCGGGCAGCTAAGTTCATATCTACATTCTTTTATACCACTTTTTTTCCCTATCATATTTACATTCTTTATACGAACCAACTACTAGCGTGTTAAATCCGACTCCAGTGGTTGAGATTTTCAACTATGACTATTTTTTACTAACTCTTACACATGTTATCAACATGTAATATAATATATTCTTTCTGACAATTAATAATATAACATGATCGCACTAGTCGTCATGGATAACTATGAATTATGACTTAGGCTCACTTGGTGAGTTTGAAGATGTGATAAGATATGAGTTCCGAAATCTGATTAGAAAGTGTTTGGTGAGAAAGACATACACTATGTATATGTGTAGTGATTATGAATAGTAGCAAAATCGTGACCAATCCCCCGCTGAGGACTTCGCCAAATTTTATTGCAGAGGAACATATAGGAAACTAAACGGTGAGCATGGGTTATGAATAGAAAACATATACCTCAGTTGTCATTGTCGATGATCCAGATCCGCTGCTAGAGACACAAATTTCATGTTGCCCTATGGGAAGGAGACATAGGGTTGGGTGCGAAGATAAGAGGATTTTGATGTGTTGAGACAGAGTTTTCCCATCTTCATCTCCTTCGATTTTGATAACGTCTTTCTCGTTTTCGAAAGCGGTGAATTAAGATTGAAAATTTCCCATATCTCTAGCTTTCAAAATTAAATTCCTTTTAAGTTCACCAACACCAAAATTAGGACTTTAATATGCGAGATATCAAAATTCACTTTTTTTTTCTTCCCACCAAATACAACCCTAATTTAAGATTCACCCTCCAAATTCACTACACATTAGTATTTCTTTATATAACTTAATAAACCAACCAATAACTACATATTAAAGACAACAATTAATTATCACATAAGCAACAATAAGGATTCAGAGTTACCTTGATACGGGCCTAACGTTGCACGAGGAGTTATCGGATACGGGCCATGATGCTATTCCTACAACACGTGAAGACCATGCAGATTGTGAAGAGGAACGTGAAGAAGTCCAACAGACCGGACGGCCGAAGAGGAACACACGACGACCTCAACGTTACGAGGATTACGTTTAATAATTTTTATGTTTACTTTATATTTGTACTTTAGTATTTTTTTTAGGTGGACGAATTATAAGTCCCTTCAAGGGTTTTCTTTTCGGTTCTTTCCCTTGACGCTTTTCTTGAACCGACAGGATTAGGATTAGGGTTTCTCTACCATTATATAAAGGGAACAACACCCCTTGCTTTGTTACCCAGGAAATAATACAAAGATTTAGTTTAGTAGAATTCCTTCTCTCTCTTTCTTCTTGCACGGACGAAACTCCCCAGAAGCAACCCAACGTTGCTGTCTAGGGTTTCTCGTTCCTTGTTCTCCAAGGGTCCTTATCATACCTCCCGGAGCAGCGATGCAGTGAAGCTGTGGATGCTCGACACATGTATATACAATAATAGTTTTTTTTTTCAAAATTCGTAACATCACTTTTTTTAAAAAAGTTGATAAATCATCATTTTTTTCGTTTTTAAACAAAATAGTTTTTTTTTTTGAAATTGAAACCTTTTTAAAAAAAATAAATAAAAAGAGTTTTTATAAGTTTAATTATTTTGGCAAAGAATCGTTTTTAAAACCACATGCTCTGACACCAAAATGTAACACCCCAACCCGCGTAATCCGAACCAACGGGTTAGCGAACCGGGTTGTCACTAAGTTGATATTCGCATGCATAAATTTTCTTTTCTAAAATAAGAATTAAATCATTTATAAAATTCGTCCATATA